TTCAGTGTGAAACTACAAAACAAAAATGTTTTCAAGTTCTTTTCCCTTCACTAACGAATGCACTTCACAGATTTCAACCCATGGTGGCTGACTGGGGATTGGTGAATATACCAACTCTAATTCCTTTCTCACCCTCTGGTTCAAGGACAGCTTTGTCCCCAGGCTGAAAAGTAGTTGACTGTATATGATCTGAAAACCCTAACGTTGTGCAAAACATTGGACTTGCAGAATGCAGGTGGTCCCTGTCAGGTGATAGTCAATTTGTGGGAGACCCATCATCATCCCCGCACGATGAGCCCCACAGGTATAGAACACCGAGAGAAACGTAGCATTGTGTGGTGGGATTTGGCCAAGCTTGTCACATACCCACCTACATTGATTTATCATTGTTTGCTTATTCAACTCCAAATAAAGGTTATGCCACAATAGTGTATCTTTTTTTTGTTGTTCTTTTTTTACGTTTTACATGATGTGTTTCTGTTAATTAGCTTGTTGGACTTATCTGTAGCCACAGTTGAAATAAAGCAGCAGAAAAGATTTTATGACCCTTACAAACTGTAGTTGACCTGTTGTACTCAACATGAGCACTCCATGCTTGATGCCCTGTTATACCCCAGCCTCTCACTTTTCTCTATTTGTTGTTTTTTCCGTATTGTTTTTTTAACAAGTCCTGCCAAATGTCTTTGTTTTCACACAAAAAAATCGTTATTTGTAGTATGTATTATATTTATAGAATCATCAAGTCTAACCTTAAGAAATGGTACATTAAATTGGATACTACATATCAGACAAAGTAAACCCGTTAGACAGTTCCACATTGGTTAACTACATTATCACACCAGAGTAACACCAGTTATATGCTCTGGTTCCATTGGTCTCCTATTACTGTTTGTGTGGACAATGCTCTTTTAGTAATACTTCTTTGTTTCATTGCAGCGTCCACTCTGACCATTGACGATGGGGAATTTGGAAATAACAGTAAGTTTGGTTCAGCACTCTTCTCACTCCACTAAAATCGCGTCCTCTGTGTTGTTAAGCCAGGCTTCTGTTGTCACTCATCCTTCCTATCTGTCTCCTCGCTCTCCTATAGATGGTGTTCACTGCGTTGACGCAGGGTGGCTTACGTGCCAGACAGAGATTCGCCTGCGCCTGCACTACTCAAGGAAGTGTCCTGTGTCCATTACCAAGAAGAAATTCAAGAGGTCCCGCTTCAGGTAAAACACCAGGGGAAATTCAACACCTTGCCAGTGAAAGTTGTACTTTAAAAGTGACACGGGGTGGCTTATCTGAAATAATCCTACCTGCCTGTTACCAAAGAAACCAGTGGAAACTATACAAAGAGATGCTTTTAACTGGTTTGAGATATTCCACTTGTGTTGATTCACACACCATTCAGGATCAAGTTGACTTTGGAGGGCATCGAAGAGGAGGAAGACGAAGAGGATAATGGACTCAGTCCCTCATCATGGAACAAGATGACCACCACTCTGGAGATCAGTATGATCAGTGCCAATGGCTACAGGTCACGTCATTCCCAGCCTGAATGGGGATATGCACTGGAGCCCACCCAGTGGACTGAGTACAGTATCCACACCATGGACCCAGACAACTTGGAGCTGACCCTTGAGTTCTTTGAGGTAATGTGTAGTAGTGGTGCAGTATTCTTCTTCTTATGAAACTTCCTCAAACCGGATAAAAAAAGTTCCCTTTATGAAGTTGGCTCCAAGTGCCTTTTCTTTTCTTTCTTGGCTTTTTTTACAGAGCTGACATTAATTAGCATGCTGTGTAACTATGGAAACCACAGCAAAATATATTTAGATTTTATTTTATATCGCATAAATTGGTTTGTCAACAATGTGTTTGCAGGAGGATCTGAGCAAGCACGTCGTCCCAGGAGATGTTCATCCAGGACATGTAGGCACCGCCTGCCTCCTTTCCTCTTCTTTCCTGGAGAGTGGCAAAGACAACGGCGTAGTGACACTTCCAATAATGAGTCGAAATTCCAGACAGACCATTGGGAAAGTGAGAGGTGAGAATTTACACTAAAAGACAAACATCACGCTAACAAAGCACAGAGGACTGCACCAGCGTTTGAGTGTCTGCATTATTGGACAGTTCAACTGCCTTTTTACACAGTCCTGTTGTTACTGTGTTGCAGTTGATTATTTGGTGATTCGACCAATCCGGGGCCTGGACTGTGACATGAGCTGCTCTTTTGCTAAATACTGGAAGAAAGGAAGTGCTCTGAATGTGGGACACAGAGGAGCAGGGAGCACACACACAGCCAGGTTTGTCAGAACAGCATTCCAACTGTATAATGTTGTGCAAATATACATACACAATGCACACATACACAGCAATTACACTGAAACCTGTTCTGTCTTCTAATGAACAGGCACCACAGAGTCAGGGAAAACACAATTACCTCCTTCAAAAGTGCTTCCAAACACGTAAGTCAAGTTGCCAGTTGTCCAAACTAAGACTTCAGCATTTAACATTCGCATTGACCTGTTCTTTCTGTACTGCATCGACTTAGGGTGCAGCCTTCGTAGAGTTTGACGTTCACCTTTCTAAAGATTCAGTTCCTATTGTATACCACGATCTGACGTGCTGCATTTCCACTAAGAAGGTGCATTTTAAAAACCTTTTATACCCGGTCTATAATAATAAAATGTTGCTTGATCTAAACTGTGGATAACCTGTGTGTGAGTCATGACTTTGTCTCCTTGATAGAAAAATGATAAGGTTTCATTGGAGCTCATCGAGGTGCCGGTCAAAGACTTGACCTTTGATCAGCTACAGCTTCTGAAGGTAAGAACCTAAATAATGAATTGTCTTTGTGTCCTGTTTCAGTTGTTCAACTGTCACAAAGTTTATATGATGCAAAAAGAGCCACCTTGTTGACTAAAGTCTAATTCTGTCTTGTGTTCTGTTGTGCAGCTGGCACATGTAACTGCAATGAAAGGCGAAGATCACAAAGGTAAGCATGGATCAGCAACAAAGCTCTTGATAATGTTGTACAGTAACATTGAGATTGATTGATTGATCCAACATATTGATCCACGCCTGCATGTATTTTAAAAGCAGGTATTGCACAGAGGTTAAATGTGAGGCTGTATGTCTGCAGATGATGACTGACATATGTTTTTTTAGATTTGCTCGATGATGACGATGAAATTGATGAACACCAGCCGTTTCCACAACTCTCACAGGTATGAACCATGTTTGTGTGGATGCTCAGTGAATGGCCTGATGTTTGTGTGTACTTTCAAACTCTGAATGATTAAATCAATA